AGTGTGTCGGCTTTGGTCCCTGCACGTTTGAGGTTTAAAGAGTCATCTTTGTAGTGTTTGGTCACTGGAATGTCAGAGGTGGCTGCTGGTCTGCTGTCACCATTGGCAACTTTGGCACAGGTTTACATCCTGTTGAGATCATACTATCCAACCTGTGAGCACTCAGCCAGAGAATGCAGTTTCACACTTTGTCCTGCCATGAATTTTCAACCTACTTTCCATTAACTTCTGTAGATAAAGCTGCTGGATTTATTGCTCCACAGTGACCGTTTCTCACCTTGCTTGGAGAAAGTGCTACCGTCTTTTCATATGTGACGAAGTCTTTTTTGTACATGGCCGTCTCATGTATTATTCAGTATCAGGTGGGCATTCTGGTGTTGCCTGCTAAGTGTTGATCAAGAGATTGTGACGCAGCTGACAACCCTGTCCAACGGTGCCTCTGACTGACGTGACTAATGATGTGTTGCCTTTCTGCGCTGATCTCCAGCTGCTCTCTGTAACAACCCATCTCACTTTGACCTCGTCCAATCTCCTACCTTTTTATCACCTTGAAGAAAGTTTGTTCTACAGGACCTTTGGCAATTAATCATCAATTCAAGCTTTGTTCCATCCCATCTGACCATGATCGGCGTTAACAGCTTGCACTCAGCGGGGCGTTTGCGTTCCCGCTCTCTTTGCACTGTGCGATATGGGAGGGACTTCCGGATGATGGACCCATTCCGGTATCCCAGAACTCCACGCTCACGCTCACTCAAACCACTGGTGTTCCCAGACCTGCTAGGTAAAGCTCAGGATGGACAGAATCACCCACAGGCCAGAAAAAGGAGGAAGGTACTATAAACTTTTTTTTAGTTTCTTTTTACTGGTCTTTACCTACACTACTCACCCTGTCTTGTCATGAACTATTTGCAGTTATTTGTCTTCCTTACTTTCAAACCTTTACATAGCCTTTCTTCAAACTCATGCAAACTCATGCTTTCTTATACAGACCATTAGGTCTGTATAAGACACATGTATAAGAAACACATGTCGACAAAACACATGTGGCAGTCTTTGATGAATGTAATCCATACCCACTACCCAGCCATCTTGCCAAGTGTCTGCGTTGAGTGTGTCTGTCTCTGATTAGCAAAAAATATTAGTAGCTTAAGGTGAATAAATAACAAGATGAACTTGGTTGTCAACAATTGGGCTCCAAATCAAGCTTTAATCCAGATCCTTTGTTCTACCTTTAAAGGATCAGTGTCACTCACAGGCGTTACCCAATAGGACACAGAGCAGGACATGTCTTACGAGAAAGAACACGTTTTAGTCGGTGTGACATCAACTGTGGGTCCACCTGTGGTCCATGGGCCAGTGGTTTTATACCTCTATAATGATGACACCTCAACATCCTTCACAGCCTGGTGGTCACATCCTTTCTTAGGTCACATTTCTGTAACATCTGTTATCCTCACAACAAGCCAACGTTATTTGCACAAATTTCCCAGACTCTAAAATGGGCCGTTGAGGTTTTTTTCTGAAGGAGACTGGTGATAACTGTAAGGTCTGAGTAGGTCACAGTCATCAGCACACACTTTATCATCTAAAAGCCACCACTCAAGGCTAATGGCTCTCATTTTGCCCAAGTTTGGTGACGCTGATGAAGCAAGTAGCTGAAGGTGACGAACATCCATCCACGTCTGAATGAGCCTCTGGCCTGATTGACGCTCTGGCGCCGATGATTTATTCTCCGCCTCCGTCTACCTTAGTTGTAATTGACTTGCTCCTTTAGTCATCTGTCTCTGAATCCACCACGCAACCCCACTGTCATCAGCACTGTGTACCCTGAGATTTAACCTAAAATTTGATTCTCTTTTTATTGTACAAATATAAAAGGAACAGGTCTCTCCTGGAAGATAAACTCAGCTGTGACACACTTTCACTGGTGAATCAGAAGAAATAGGCCTGTTGAATATTGATCCTTTCACATGTTTAATACCTCATGTGCTTCAACGTGAAACTTTTTGCCTTGAGGTAAAACTACTACAGTAAATAAATAATAACAATATTTTGTAGATGCAGTAGTGCTGTATCATCTGCTGAACTGCTGTTCTTTTTTTAATCTAAGTGAATGAACAGAAAGGTGCTTTTTGCTATTTTTTTTCTTTTTGTTATTCCTTTAATTAAGAAAATATTCTGAAGATGAGTTGATGAGTTACTATTTATACCCTGTAATTATTAGGTTCGTGCTCGATGTTTGCTGTTTTGGTTGGAGGGTAGAAGCTTAGGATCAAAGCTTTTTGTCTTAGGCTTTTAGTGTTATTATTTACTCCCGTTGTTATTCACTCGGCATTATGCAAAAATAATGCAGTGCAGAAAATGGGACAACAAACAACAAGCATCTCATAAGAAAAAAAATCAGATTTTCAGGAAAGGAGGGAATCACAGTATTTCTTTGTTGATTTCAGACACATTTATGTTGTGTGATCTTCTCCAATGTCCAGTAAGGACTTAAATAAATGTCATTAGTTTCCAGGGTTGATTCTTTGTACCTGACTCTCGGAACTGCTGTTTGTGAGAAGGAAAAATCAATTGGATTATCCCCTGGGACATGATCAGAAATTGTAAAATCACCTTCTACTTTTTCACTTGTTCTCTCTTCTCCCTCTGTCAGCTGTGTTTGCCCTCTAGGTTAAATCATTTTTAATAATTTTTAATTATTAATCGTTTTTATTGTTGGCACTGTTTATAGTGAGGGTGAGCAGCTCACTTTAGTTTATGTGATGTTGAAATGAATGATCCTGACCTGTGATGAAGCAGACATTTTTCACCGTTAAATCCCTCCCATTCTTTTGTCTATGGAGGAGGATATGGGTAACAGAATTTAGACCTTAAATTTAGAAAATAAAGCTTTTATATTATTATTTATAACGTAAAGAACTTAAATAAAAGCTGGAGCTTTGTGAGAAGAAAAAAAATACTTGAAGTTAAAGTTCCTGACGAAAAAATACTTTTAAACTTAATTCTCAGACTCTTGAGAGTTCTACATTCTCATGTGGTTTTACTTTCCTCCTGTAGATATTCCATAGAGCTTCCTCAGGGGTTAACTAAATCCAACCTGGTACCAAAAATTGTCGTCAAAAGAGTGTTGAGTTTTGGCAGTAAAAGGTAGACAAAACTGTGTCTGTACTGTTCCAGTTTCCAGTTTGTACTGAAAGACTTCATGTTGTTAATATTCATGGATTATTTCTGATGAGGCCCAGTTTTGAAACTTTGTAAATGAACTTGATTGAACAGAAGAATCAAACTCTATTATAAATCCAATTCTATTTAACTGGGAGTCACAAAGCAGCAGCAGCAGCAGCACCGTGTATTTATGATAGAGTGGAAGTATGGAATGGCAGAATTCAAGTGAAGACCATTAGCAGCAGTTCTTTAATCAAAGGAACGTAATGGAAAATAATTGATTCCAGCCGAGAGTGAGGTTTCTTCCCCTCCGTGGCGTGAACAGAATCGCTCCATGAGGAACTGGGAGTTGAACAAGGAGGTAATGAATGGCCTGTACTGTCATCTCCATCAGCTCAGCTGTCCCAGCTGTCCATCAGCTGCATCTCCCTCTTCGATTTGTGTCTGAAACACTGGAGTGTGACGGCTTCATGCTGCCGTCTGAGCCTTCTGTTCGTCACCGAGCAGCTCGTGGATGTTTGTTGCCGTATCACACTCATTGTCACTGCAGGCTGCTTAATGAAAAGCAACTAAAGGTCTGAGCTGTCACATGTCGTTTGGAAGACCTTAAAAAGCCCAGTGTTCTGTGTCTCTTAAAGGGAGAATTCATGTTTTATGATGTGTGGTTCTATCAGTTGCTGAAATATTACTGACTCACATTCAGACTCATGCCCACTGCACATCTCCAACCTGAGACATTGATGCTCACTCACACTGAAAAGTTGGCAGTCTGCAGTGACATTAGGAAGAGTAAAGAGTATAATTTCTCACTGCAGTGCACAGCATTCAGATAAACTGGACTCATGGTCTGTGTTGTGAAGTTCCTAGGGTTGTACGTTTGACCATAGTAAGATAGACAACTAGAAACGACTGTTCTTCCAAACTACACATGTAGATTTTCTCTGAAATTGTGAGTGGTTTGCAAACATCAGATTAAACTTAAGCAAAACAATGCATTGTGTGAAGATATTTGTGACAGGAGTAGACAACAAATCTATCAGAAGAATATCTTTTGGGTTTTTTTTACAGGAAAACCTGCATTAATGTGTCCAGTCAAAGACAGCTAGCTAGTTAACAAACAAGGTGAGCTAACCAGAGTGTAAAATATGAAAATTACCATGTTTCATACTAAGGTGAAAAACAAAACAGTGTTGTGAAGTGAATTCCAAAAATCATTATTATATCTTTATATTTTTTCACTTAAGTTTTTAGAAATCACTCAGATTCAGTTATTTATTGTTTTTTCTTAAAACACTTGTATTGAGTTGTGGACCGATCACTGGACAGATTGATCAATCGACTGCAGCCTAAAGAGAAATCCATAAATCCATCTGCACTGTAGAAATGTGCTGTTTCTTGTTTTGTTTCTGTTATTTTTACCTTCATGGTCCCAGACTTTTTCTTGAGCTGTAACCTAAATTTTCTGGCCTGCCTGGATCAATGACTTTGCGTCAGAGACTAAATTATTGATTGGCTGATTGATTTTGCCTCTCTATCACTTGACAGGTTGTGTTTTTTCCCCCTTTTTTAACTGATGTAGTGATGGTTGAGGGATTGGGTGACTGATGACTTCTTTGGTGAAGAAAATGAGTAAAACTCAGGCAGACCAACGAACAGTATAGAGAAAAGACACTGTCTTTGAGGAACAGAGCCTTCCTGCTTACAGTGCAACTTTAACAGAAAGCCGCAGCTACCCAACCTCTGCTCACTAATGTTTGATCAAACCTCCAATAGATTGAGCTGGCGTGTATCATATTCATGTGTAAATATGATTTTATTTCTTCTTTCCACAGGCTCTGTACAACTCAATCAAGAATCAGAAGCTGCAGTGGACTATGTAAGTTTGAATTAATCCTGGAATATGTTTTTATCTGCGGTTTCTTCCTCTAATTTTTCTTTTCTCTTTTTTTACTTTCTTCATCCTACTCTTCTGTTTCTTCTTCTTTTACTAAATGAAGGTTTTTGTTGCAAACAAACACATCAAATATTTTAGAAATATCTGAGGACACCTATAATGCGCAAAAGCCTACATACATATACTGTATATATATATATATATATATATTTCCAAACAAACAGGTTTATATCTTAAATTAAACATAATTTAATGTCAACCATAAGCAAAGTTAGCTGTAATATGTCAAGGAAAAATATGTTTAGGTCAGAAATAGTTTTTACTAACTCAGATAAGGCGTCAATGGTTAAAATAATCATAATAACATGAACAATTAAAAATTAAAATTCTTTATTTAGCTTAGACTTCTGTAAAGAATTTAAAAATGTTAAGGTAGATGATAAAATAGCTTGATCCAAAATTTTTGAAAAAATTGTCAAAAATGAATGAAAAACATTTAAAAGATAGCTTAGAATCTACTGACTTCATGATAGGTTTGTTACTTAAGAGTTAAAAATTAACTTTAAATGAGCCCTGAAACAGTTAAGATATACCCAGAGTTGGTTACAACTGCCATGGTGTAAAACTCTAAATGATCCAAAATGCCCTCAAAACCTGCTTTAACTAAGCAAAGCCGTCCTGTTAAAGATAATTAATTTCACGCACACAAAGACACAATGGAACACACACACAAATCGTCCTGGAGGGCAGGAAGTGATAAAGGATATTGATGAAGGAGTTAGTGCGCTCGTTAGTGACGTGAGCCTCCTCTGGCATGTGAGGGAAACATTAGTGTGTCAAGGGTTGCTATTCTGGATCACAGCTTCAGCCTCACACATGCCAATTAAGTTGCTGGCTTTCCAAGCTTTGTTGCCACGGTTACGACACCATGGATACGACTCCATGGCGACCGCAACGCCCTTCCCTCCCCGCGTTCTCTCAGCAGCAAACACAACACAACACTTACAGAGAGACAAATGTATTGTACATATAAATACACACAGGAAGTGCATGGCTAGAGACGTGTGCGTCTCGGTGTTTGAACATGTGAACATGTTGAGGAGAAGGAGATGGCGATAGATTGTGAGAGAGAGACAGAGAGATGGGGAGGGATGTGAGGAGACGTAACTTAAACGTCTCTTTACCTGTATCCTGCACAAAGGTGTGACCACTACCTCCCACTATCTGTTCCAAAAATAGCAGCACCAGCCGCAGAAGCAGCATCACTCCTGGAGCGGCTGAATAAATAGTGGTCAGAGGAGCATACGCAGGAGGAGGAGGAGGAGGAGGAGGAGGGCCACAGAGAGGCAGGCAATTCAGTTCAAACATATCCACTAACAAACAGTGTAGACAGCTATTTAAACACTGTCGTTGCACCAAGGCCAAACAAGGACGAAAATGTTTTATAATTTTTTATAAAAAATGAGGTGGACTTTCAGACCAGAAGAAAGCAACTGATGGATTAAGAATTAAAGGACCGGCAGCAGGAGGGATTTAGGGCTTTGACACAGAGCTACACATGCCCCTGTTCAATATTTGAGGTGGCTGACATGGTTGGGCTGGTGTGGTTTTGGTCTGTGCCGCTGTTCAGCTTTGAAAACCTCATTTGGAGGCAGAGCACCGTGTCACTTTGTCCACCACTTTCACACCTTGCTCAACTGATGCATATTTCATCACGCAGAGGATTTTTTTTTACACTTGCAGACTCACTGACCATGTCTGCAACACATGAACTCACACCTAGTCATAGGTGAATCCTGCCTCTGCATTGGTTAAGATAATACACACATCATTTGTTTTACCTCTCCTTGTCGGTGTGTGCACTTGCAATAGTGAAGTGTATGGGTTCTGTTCTGTCAACCACACTAGTGATTTTTTAAAGTCCTTATTGCAGAATTCTGAGTAGAATGAAAATATGGCAGTGACAGTAGAGGTTGTAAAAGATAAAGAATAAAAAAGTACAATATGTGTTAGTAAAAATGTAGTTTGTGTAACTCAATAGAGAAGCCAAGCAAGGGAGTGAAATGGAGGCTGATGATCTGCTCACACCAGACCATTCTGCTCAGCACTGCTCTAATATTGCACCCTGCCCCAGTCAATATCCTCCTGTGTAGCTTTTTAATTCAATAAAACACACTGGCTTATATGAGAACTTTAAATTAATTTAATAATATGTGCTTTTCTAAAAGAAATATTTTTCTACATCATTGAACTGCTGGTGAAATCTGCAACCGTGTATCTGTAAGACTTAGCTGAAGTTGTACACTCCACTTAACCAGAGACCGTACTGTAAGTAAGGATAGATAGTTAGCTTTGTGTGATCACTAAGTTTGCTTTGCATTGTGAAATAAACACAAGGAACATTGTAACTTCTATATTTAGGAAATATTTAGGAAATCCTAATTAATCAGAATAAGTCGTGATTAATCCACAGCTAGCATGTGGTTATTCAGATTGTAAAACGAAAGCCTGAGTTTTTATCCTTAGTGACAGAACCTGATGATGGTGAATTATGGAGCTAGAGTTTGTGTTAAAAACAGTTTTTTCCCTGTTTCCCTGAGAACGACAGACTGAGGTTAAAAGCATCTGGATTGCAGCTAGATTCCACCTTTGATTGTGCTGTTGTACTGTATGTGCTGCACATCTCAGTACAGGTGAGTGTGTCTGCGCACATTACCATGGCAATGGATGTTACTTCACTCCCCCGCAGAGAGAGACTCAGAGAGAGACACGTACATGGTCGCTCTCAGCGGTGCAGTTGGAGGCACCCACATGTTCCACACTCGCTAAGACAACACAGAGATTTACAGCAAACACACACACACACACACACACACACATGCTTTCTCAGCAGCAGCAGCGGGGGTGGAGTGCAGAGTGAGAGGTGGTGGGCACTATATGAGGATGAAAGAGAGGGAGAGAGACGCAACAAGTCCAAGGTCTTTATCTATGGATGCAAACCCAGCTGAGTGGAAATGTGGAAATTCAGTTAGTGATGAATCATGTTGTAAATATGTATATTTTAAAGGCATCAGGCTTTCAATCCCTCCTCCCTCCAACGTGGTATTTAATGTATCTAACTAATGTTGACTGTAAAATATCACAGCGTTGTCAAGGCGTTAGTTTGTGTAAACATATAACATTTGGCTTCTCACTTTTCGCCTGCAGAGGTTGCTATGAACATAGTTTGATACTGTGAATTTTTTCTATAAATTGTAATGTTGTAAAAACACAAGAAATACACTTAACAGACCAGCAGTTAACCAGAATATGCTGAGGTGATACTTCCCAAGGTTATCATAGTGCGGAGCAGTGGTCCTGCACAACCTGAGTCAGGCCTCATTTAATTAAAAATGCAAAGAATGTGTTTTGGAACACAACAAAACATTAAATGACTTGCAGTAAGCCTGCAGTTGTGATGGTGTGACCTGACCCTGACCCTCCCCCAATACTGACTTCTTCTTAAACTTTTGGCAGCAGCTAAAATTCTCTACCAACTTAAACTATCACAATTTCACAAGTGTTTAGTTTTAAAAAATTACTCTCAATATAAAATATGTTTGGGATATACAGATGTTATTTATGTCGTAAAAAGATGAAAGCGTTAAATGGATGAATTGCTGCTCATTTTCCCTTCTCTGTGTGAGCTGTGTTGTAACCATTTGGTACAGTGACTCAGAGTCACAGGTGAAAGAGCAAATCTGTTCCCATTGGCCACTGATGCAGCAATGACATAAAAATCCCAGCATGCAGCAGCGTGTCCATCAACCAACAACCTGCTCCCAGAGCTTTCCTACAGTTTGTAACATTTTATTTACCCTGATTCTTTTTCTGTCTTTACCTGTTATGGTTTACTAACTTTTTTTCTATTAATTCCCGTTTCCTGTTTTTCTTTGTCATTCTTTTTGGTGTTTTAAACCCTAATATATGTTTGTTTGTTTTTTTAAATTCCCTGTCCCTCTGTTCCTCATTCTCTCTCACATTATTGCTGAAAATATTCTGCCATCGGAGAAGAAGGATGAGCTTTTGTCTTTTTCTTCTTCCCTCCCTTCCTCCATCTCTTCCACTTTGTGTAGAGAGGGATTCAAGCAGGCCAGCAGTTACCAGGCAACAGGCTACACTCTCATTGGCTCTGACTCTTTCTTTCTCTGTTCTCTCTGCCTCTTGCACGGGGTTAACTGCTGTTATGTACTGTTAGTTACTCATAATCTGGTCTCGGAGGGGGGTTCGGCATCAAGCCATTTTCCTCTTCTGTTTTCATGAACTTTCGCACCAGTGTTGAATGCCGAGGTAACCAGTGGATTTGCCCGGTTCCCTCACAGAGAGGCAGGCTATGGTGACCTGAAGCAGCTATCATTTCCTAATGTGACAAATCCCTTTAAAAACACCAGGGGAAGTCCCATGGTGCATTGTGAGGCATTATTTAGAAGAGAATGAGATTATCACCACTGAAAGGATGTCTTTTCTTGGTGCTGCCCATCATTTAGATATAGCACAAATCCAAAAGCGCTCACGTATAAAGTGTTCTAGTGTTGAAATTAGAAAAAAAATAATTACAATGACATAAAAAACTCTAGGATTATATGATCAGACTTGGAAGCATCTGATTGGGATTACCAGAAAATCCAGTGTAACGTAATCAAATTCAACAAAGGTTATGACTACACTTGTTTGGTCTTAACTGTGGTTGTAAACTTTCCCCTGTCAATTTGCAAGATTTTCCGGAACAGTCAAAGCAGACATAGCCAAAATTTAAATTTAATAATAGTTTTAATGTAAATTTCTTTAGCACTTTAACCTGAAAATCCAATTTTCTTTCTCGCTCCCCTTAAAAAACAGCATTGTAACATTGTCTTCTTTTTCTCTCTGTGAAAATGCTTCAAGGCCATTTCAAAATATTTTAGGAACTCCTTTATCTTTATTTTACACATTTGAAATTCACAATTGTTTGCAGAAATCTGCCCAAATCTTAGCGTCTTTAGCAATTAAATAAAACCATTTGTTGTTTGTTCTAAGCCTGGAGCACGGCTGCATCAAAAATCTACTCTTCCCAGTCCTCATTTCCATAGATGGTTCTTCGAGGCTCTTTTCTAATGTGTGATGAGGAGGCTCCTCTGAGACTCATCAGCACATCAGCAACAAATATGATGATTCTGAATGGCCTGGAATCTCAGTGTTATAAAGGGATATGAAATATATTAGATTGAAGCTCATAAAGTGTCTTTGGAAAACAATGTAATGGATGAGAGACTGACACTAACACAGTGAAAGTAAACCATTATGACAATTAGTTTTGGACTTCTGTTGCTTATCGTCTTCTGACTGATGAGGAAGATGGAGTTGTGATTTTAAAACTAAAACATTTTTTATTACAACACATGTAATGTAATGGATTTCATATTTGAGGACATTAAAAAAAATTACATATAGGAGTAATATATTTTTGTCTTTTACCAATTAACCTTTTACTATATTTCAGTTATTATTTAATCCAATTTTTGCACAAATAAAGTTTTACAATGCTCCGTAGTTAGCAGGTAATGTTAACAAGATAGTCATTCTCAGAATGACTGTAAATGCACTCACTCAATCATTCACCAAAAACACTGAGGACACTTATTTTAGTAATAAATTATAACAAAAAATGAAAATGCATATAAGTTCCTCACAGTAGTCCAGTTGTCAAAAGGACCAGTCAAAAGACAAAAACTGAACATGAGTCATATAAAAGTAAACAAAAAGTGCAGAAGTCATCCATACATCTTCTTGGTCTGCAACAGTCCACCTCAGTAGTTCATACACTGTCCAATAAGTAACTCTTTTAGATCATTCATTTTCTGTTCTGAAAGAAAATATATTTTGTTAAACTATTACAGCATCTGTCCCCAGTCCTTGCAGTAAAAAGCTCTTTTCAAAGTCAAGATTCAAAATATAGTAAAAATGTAAGAAATACCCTAAGGGGGTCTTAGGCATAAGAGGCCTTCACCTTCTTTTAACAGTGATGTTCCTGCATCAAAGGAAGGAACCGCCTCCAGGGTAAGGAAGCCTCTAAAAAGGGAAGAGAAACAGTGGCTGACGTTTTGCAGGAATGTTTTTTGATCCAGTATAGAACAGAGAACAGAGAGAATTCATTTTGTGAGGTTCTAGTTTGTGTGGTACTCTGTAACTGCGTGGCCAAAGTGAGTACTGTAACAAACTGTAAGTCCGTGAAATCTTGTCCTCTTCTGTTCCCTGTGTCACAAGTACAGGGTGAGCGATAAATGGATAGAATGAATGACGACGTGTTTATTGCTAACAAGACATGACACATCAGTGTCCATTAGAGTCCTTTTTTATATTTTCTTTCAAAATGTTCATATATTTATTTAATTTGGTCTCCACAGTGACGAGGAAGAGCTACGCAAGTCCTTCTCAGAGCTCGGAGACAGTCTGTGTGACTCCAACACCTCCAGAACCATGAAGAGGGTGGGCAGCAGTGGGAAGTCCCTGGCAGATGAGCCCACAGGAATGTTACTGTACAAGAACGGATTCCTCGTTCGCAAGGTCCACGCTGACACCGATGGCAAGAGAAGTACGTAGCCACAGCCTTTTGGGGATCATGGCCATGAGCTCAACTGACTTTAAAAATAAATAATACGTCAATTTGTCCCTCAGTGCCAAAAAAAATCCCTTACCCAATACCCTTTTTTATTTTTCTTCAAATGTGCTATGTAGTTAAAATGTCAGATCGGTGCAATGGAGATAAGGGACAATATTAGAGTTTTCTGCTCTTTTTCTTTTTACGGATGTTTTCACAGCTACTTTCCCTGCTTTATCCACCCACTGTCCTCCGAAAGTGTCCTTAACAACTTCACCTTGCCTCACTTACCTCCTTGGCCTCTACATAGAAAATTCCAAGCATTCTGCCACCATTAGCTTTGCATCTTGCATTTTATCAGATTTTCTTGGTAAATTCAATTAAATTCAATTCACTGTTGAATGTTGAATTTGGCGACATCACACGTCACATCGCATATTGTGATGAAACAAAGGCAAAGAAATTCTCATCTTTCTCTGTTTCATGAAACCCTTTTGATTCCAGTATTTTGCATCTCCATTAACTTGTGTTCACAGCAGTCCTCCAACCCGGGGGGGCGCTTCTCTAAAAGCCCTGTGTCACCGCCAACTTAACACCACTCTTTTCAAGCTGAATCATTTCCCACACTTGCTGTCATTTGAGTCAGCTGTGATCCAGTCCAACATCTCTGTGTGTCAGTGTGAATGTCGTCTCCTCTCTGGATCACATCCATAACCTGAAATGAAATAATTCAAAATCCGGCCGTATTTTGAACAACAATTTTTTCATCTGCTTGAAAAACAATAAATCATTTTGTTTTTAATAGATTCATTAAAAATGTTAAGTTAAATAGGGACAAAACCTAAAAGAACAGATGGAAAATGTTCCTGTCATCAACTGCTGATCTGCTTTTTCGTTTGTTGACAACTTTTTATGATAACGTAGTCATAAATACTTTCTTTTAGCAAATCAAAACAAACATGGGTGGATTGCCAAAGTTTTTTTATCTTTATTTATTTTTCATCCAGTCAAGTTCCATTATTTTCTGCATATTAAATAGAATCCTAAAACTATTAGGCCCTACTTTATATGACACTGCATAAAATAGTACCTTCTTTGTTACATAACATACTATTGTTTCATCTCCAAGACAAACATGGTGCTTTATATTAAGCAGATTGTCAATATATTGAGAACCTAATCCTCACTGTCTTTTTTATATAAATTAACAACTGTTCAAGTAAAAAATATATGGTACCATATACTGCAGGTCAAAGGTTAACGTGTTATTTTTTCTCTTTACAGCACCAAGAGGTAAAAGAGGATGGAAAACCTTCTACGCCATCCTCAAAGGGCTAATCCTCTATCTGCAGAAAGTAAGAGTCATTTACAAAAACACGCGTTTCTTTATTTTCTATGTGCTCTCTCTCTTTTCACATGTCAAATTATAACGATCTCAGTGTTTTTACATTTACATTTATATTTACATTTATGCATTTAGCCAAAGCGACTTACAGAGAAGGATTAACATTATCAAGCTTGCTAATCGCTATTCCCTCTAAATTACTTAATTTTAACATTCTTGTGTGTGTGTGTGTGTGTGTGTGTGTGTGCTGTTAGGGTGAGTACAGGCCTGATAAGCAGCTGACTGATGAGGATCTAAAGAACGCTGTGTCCATTCACCACTCTCTGGCCATGAAAGCGTCGGACTACAGCAAGAGGCCTAATGTGTTCTACCTACACACCGCTGACTGGAGGGTGTATCTCTTTCAGGCACCGTGAGTAACATGATTTAAGACAAAAGAACATATTTGACTTTTTTAAGCTATAGCCACTATATTAGGTATGCTGAATCAACTGCTTTTTAAAACCATCTAATCGGCAAAACTGGTGCTATTTCCTCAAGCTCTGTCATGTTACAAAATAAGAAATATTTGCAGTAACTGGAATTGATTTTGAATTAAGCTTTTGTATATTATGCATATTACGTACACTCTTATTCATTGTTACATAATTGATATATCACTATTTGAAGACTTAAACCGATGTAAAGCCAGGTCTAAAATGTACCATATGAGGTAGCCAGTGAATGTATGTTGTCACAGTGATATGACATCTACTCAGTGTGACTAGCCTACTGCTCCACTTTCACCGAGTGTCCGTGCAGAGAGCCTGACCTTACATCCACCCAAAACCTCTGGATGTGCAGCTAAAGTTTCTTCATCCAAATCTAGACCTGGTTGGAGGATGTGTTGATATAGTACAATGTCTCCACTCAGCTGGGAACCCAGCTTAAACTAACACCACGTGAGGCCTGCTGTGCACGTGTGCCCCGGGCGAACAGAACGCCTGCTGAGGGTCTATGGATCAAAGACACATACATACACAAGACAGAATTCATTCAGAGCGTTAGCGGCAAGGTGAAGGTGTGTAATGTAGTGTGTGTGTGTGTGTGTGTGTGTGGATGACTGCATTCAGGAACTGGCACATGAGTGTCCACATGTTTCTGCCCCCTCCCACCGCCCACCCCCACCCCCTGGAGGACAGGCTGTGTGCTCCAGTTGCAGTCTGTATCTGTCCCAGATACTGTACCCCCTCCCGTGTCTCTTCTCTTTTTCCTTCTCTCCCTTCTTGTCTCTCCATCCTTCTCTCCTCCTGTGGGACTGGGACCCGACTGTCTCATTCAGTCAGATATTTCTCCTGGGCCACTTGTGTGTGTGTGTGTGTTTTATGTGTTAGTGAGAAAACATGATAATTGTCCCTATCCAGCTTAGTTGTTCTAATAAATTAGTACTGCAAAGGTATAGCTGATAAAAAAGTCATTTTGTAGTTTTGTAACCACATTTGTGTTTTCTAATTATTCCTGACTGTGCTTTCCCCTTCCTCTGTAACAGGAATGCGGAGCAAATGCAGTCTTGGATCACACGGATCAACACAGTGGCCGCCATGTTCTCCTCCCCACCTTTCCCTGCAGCTATCGGCTCACAGAAGAAGTTCAGCCGACCGCTGCTGCCAGGAACAATGTCCAAGCTGTCTGAGGTATTGTTGAGAAATTCACCTTTAGCCCGTACAGCTGAGGTGTCAAACTCAATCATGCAGGGGGCGGAAATGTGTTGTGGGCAGAGAGTTGTTGGTCAAACAGGGTTAACATTTATTGAACAGCCTAATCAGAATGTAAATGTATGTTTATTGAAAATGGGAGTTAAAAAAATATATAATCTTGAATTACTCTCCATACAGAGAATCTGACCACTGAGTTTTAACCATCCAAAAATCACAAGTATAGACTGTTGAAGACACCATTTCTCCTTGACTGTAGTACTTACTGCTTATTGAAAAAAAGAACCTAAATTAACCTAATAATTTACCAGACAATTCCTCCTGTGAACTGAAAATATATGAAACAAATAAAACAATTTTAAAAACATGTAAATCTGTCTCGATACAGATCCCTGCTTCCTTAATTCACCACCTGTTGATACAGAGATAAATTAATCACAAAATAATTATGTCTACATTTCAGAGAAGCTGGTTAAACAATTTTAAAAAATTGACATGCCTCTTAACAGCAGCACTGCCAAAAAGCAGAAACATGTTTTCCAAAGGAGAAACAAAAGAAGTCAGCATAGGAGCTCATTTCCTAATGTGTTTTTGATATTGGTTTCTCACCTGTCTCATGGTCCAGACATTTTTGTCCCCTCTGACCACAGCCATGGTGTAATAGTCAGTGTTCAAGGTCACTCTGCTCTTATATTATCCTCTATTTTAGGCAACAAAATGGGAGGTTTTGACCCCATTTTCTCTAAATGGCTGGTTGTTAAATGTAAAAAGAAATGTAAAAAGAAACTGAGAGGACTTTAAGAACAATCCTGAACTTAATACCTGTGTTAGCCAATCCAAAAATGGCACACGTTTTTGTGCTGTTGTCAAGCAAGGTAATCAGTCCCGTTTGTCACACAGGTGTACAAAGGGAGGAAGCTCCTTATTCAGACATTGACTGCATATGAATATATACATTTAATATTGACTTGGGTCACAATTCTTGTGTTAATCATGTGCCGACAGGAGGAGCAGATCAGATCCCATGAAGCTCGGTTCAGAGCCATCTCTACTGAGCTGGCTGAACTGCGTTCTTATCCTCCTGATCGCAAAGTGAAAGGGCGCGAGCTGGAGGAGTACCGCCAGCGAGACGAGTATTTGGAGTTTGAGGTGAGATGATCATAGAAGATACAGCCACATGTATCTGAAAGTTCTCAGTCTTTCAGTTTAGATTCCATCTAGTGCCATCTGTGGTGGAAATTTAATGTACAGCATGTGACGTGTCACATCCCTTTCCTTCAATCAAGTTGCACATTTAACCACCCTGAGAATTCACTCACAACATGTTTTCCCTATTGTTCTATATTGATTCACATGTTGACTTCTTCATAGAAAACACGATATGGAACATATGTGATGCTACTTAGAGCTAAAATCCGGAGTGGCGAAGAGGACCTGTCTGTGTTTGAGTCTCAGCTCCTGGAGGACAACGGACTGCAGAGGGCGCACTCCAGCCCCACACTGCAGGACAGCAGCCAGGCAAGCCAGGCCAGCAGCACCAAGGACGGGGCCAACAGCAGCAAAGCCAGCGGCTGCAGCGGCGGCAGCAAAGTCCGACAGGAAGGCCAGAGACACAGCTACCGACAGGCCGTCAAGAAGTGAGACAGTGTGGGGGCGCCGGGAGCAGCACGGCGTTGCTCTGCCAATGGCAGGCTGTCTCCCCGCATAGGTTTTATTTGAGATCCAGGAGGGTTTGTAGCTCTGCTTGAGAGGGGAGCTGGAGCAAGGATCGCCCCTAAGCCCTCTTCAGACCATGACGCCCTAACCCGGCACCCCAATCTTCTCATCCAACTGAGGAGGTGCGGATCCTGTGACTGACAGACTGGCTGGGAGAGAAGCAGTGAGCGTTAGTGCAGGAGGTGGGAGGTAGCGCAGATCAGGAGAGACGAGGTGTCTTTGAGAACGTACCCTGGCTGTGTAGCAGACTGTTCTGTGCACTGAGACGTAGAGGGTGCAAACAGATTGAGCAGGACTCCACCACGACCTACATCCTGCATCCAGCATCATTTTTACCCTTTGGTTCATGCAAGGCACCTCTCCCATTTCTCCTGCCTTTGTTCTCCACTTTTGGGACCAAAAGTGTTTACATATTCTGAAACATCTCTGCTGAGACGTCAGCACCATTTTCATTCGTGACTTCTGTGAGAAGTTTCCAGTTCTTTTGAACCCACTACATTCCAGCTCCTGTTTTGCCACATGCCCACGGTGGGTTCACATTCCATTCAGTAGTTGGACAATGCAGTTTTTATCTTCAGTGTGTGTGTTCCACTGAAAGAAGCATCAAATAAGGTGGTACACAACACCTCATGAAGATGGGCTACAGCTGTGATGTTGTACTGTAGATGTAGATGAGAACATGATGAGGTCGCTGCAGCTCATCTCTCCGTATTACCCGTGTCTTTTCTCTAGACACTGATGTCTGGTTGGAAGCCACAGCTCAGTAGAAGTCTGCAGTACTTCTGATATGCAGCTACATATAAATAAGAGGTTGTTTTATTCCCTTTATTTCCACAGATGATCTCTTTTAGAGTTCCTGCTTCTGTCCTGTGACGTGTTGGGTTTTTTTTTTTTTGTTTGTTTGTTTGTTTATTTTTTTCCTTGATTGTTGGTTTTCCTGCTGTGATCTGCATGCTTGCATCCAGCACAGCTTCTTTCAGGCCTTTTTACTACAAACCCAGACAAAGCTGGACCGTTGCTGTCCAGAGACATGTACAGTGGGGATTAAAACTTTACCTACCTCTGTAAGATGACAGAAATCAGGTTTAGAACATTGACACAAAGGTATGTGCATTTGTACATTTCAGTAAAAAAACAAAATGAAATCTATGAACAGAAAACACTTGTTTGGAATTATACACATGCCTAATCTAATTACTTTGAAACAGATTTTTGGTCAGAGTTTCCCAAAAAAGCACATCTTCATTTTTTGACAATTATTTTCACATAAGCTTCCAAATCCCTCAAATTTCGCAGACATCATTGAAGTCTTTCCCAGGTGACGTTGCAGATTTTTGTCTTAATTTAAAGTCTAATTTCTGACTAAAATGTAATTTTTCTCTTCATCTTTAGCACCTTAGCAGACAACTTAGGGAATTTATATATAAAAAAAACCGGTCCGTGATCAAAGCCTCTTGTCCCTGGTGGACAGAAACAGCCCTAGAGCATGATGGTGCCACTGCCATGCTTTTGTTATTGCAGTGCTTCTTCATGCAGATTTTTGCAACATTGTCCTAATGCCAAATGCCCCTTTGTTTATTATTGCCAAGTTCAACTTGGTGTAATCAGACAGTTTTACTGAAATGTGTCTGACAGAACTGATGTCACTGATGATTTTGAAAGGTTACGCTGCTCTATTATTAAATATTTTAATAAAAATGAATATTTAGAATGTTTTTTTGAAACCCAGCCCATAGTCCAGACTCTATTTTTATTACTGATTTAAATTTGTTTTTGCATTGAAATGTACATTGTACAGCTCTCTGAAGGAAAAGTATTAATATAATGGCATTATTTTATACATAAAAATCATCTATTCTAAAGGGGTATGTAAAGTTTCTTTCCACTGCAGATTCCTTTTTGTCATGCTGATGCCAACATATGTAAAATTGTTTTCACCGCCTGTCATTCAGAGCCCTTCTTTGAACACTCACCAGGCAGATCCTGAATGTTCATGTTTTTCAGTGTTTTTACAGTATTTTACAGTCGTTCGTTGATGTCCGAACATACTTCTCCTGTGTATGTCAAATGTATGATGTAATATATTGATAATGACAATGTAAGAAGACATACAGTATGTAATCTAAGCTCCTTGTCGAAAACCTCAGAATATGTTGTAGATAACGCATAATGTCTGCTTTATGCTTATATTGTAGGATATTTTTCCACACACTATTGCATTACAAACACATACCCAGTAGAAATCCTTAGAAATCCTGTGTCCAAGGCGCTACATGATACTCATGTGTGGTTTTCTTATGTTTTGTTTTAATTTACTTGTATGTGGTAGAAACACAGTAATTCAGCACAATGTGAGTATTATAGTGAGGCCTATATGTTGATGAAAGATTGGTTAGAGATGAATTTATGGACATGGTTATAATTTTTCTTTCTTGCTGGAACATAAAACCCCGATTGACATCAAACTGGTTGACAATGAAGAAAGGAAGAACAAGGACTGTGAGAATTAGGTAATCTGCTCCAAATAACTGAATCCTTATGTGCTCAATTTTATTTTTTGTAGCCATAATATTCACCTGTTGTTGCATTGCATTGATCTATAGCCATTTTCTACTCAGGCTTTAAAGATGACGCCTTGAGCAGCTGCAGTGCCAGGGTCCCACCAGCAGGGAGAGCTCTCGACATTCAGTTACGTTCTTTCAGCCATAATCAAAACCTGCTGCACCTGCAGTAAATATGCATCATGGCATCACCCCCTCACCTAAGGATGAAGGTGGGTGTAGGAGGGCTAAATCAGACAGGACTTGTTTGTATAAATATGGATGTCAACAGTATGTGTGTTGTGTATGAGTGGATTTATAGTTGGATGAAAGTGAGTTTGTAAAATAAAAAATAACAAAAAGACTTAAATACCAGAGGAAAGTGACAGTATATACAAGCCTAGGGCGCTCCCCAGATATGATCCATGTGTTACAAATGGTCACACCTTTTGCAAGTGTTTTAATGATTATACTGTTATTTTTGGTCACCAGTTACTGTTGGTAGGTAGAAAATAACTAAATTAAAGAAGTATAATTGGAGTTTTGTCTTCCTCAAAATATTGGTTCTAATTTATGTTGCATAGTACTTTATATAATATCTTGAGGAAACCAAAACAAATAACGGCCATTAATAGTGTTCTGTGAAGAAAATTCCTTAATTTTAAAATATTTGTAACCACTTTTTATTCCCCAGATCCAGCTTCTCATTTATGTTATTGACTTAAAGGCCTCTCTTATACAGTACGTCAAGAGGAGCAGGGTGACAACAAATATTATTTGTTATTAATTCTATAAATTATTAATACATAATATTTGTTTATTATTGTTATTGCTTATTTATTGTTTGCTCCTCTTGACGTACTGTAGAAGAGAAGTATTAATCAATAGAGCCAAAATATCAGTGTCCCAAAGTCCACGGTGCTTTTTTCCGGTGTGGTCTAGTCATCAGTGAGATACATGCATTGTTACTGTAAAGACTAACCTCTGTCCAGCTTCACCTTCACGTTCAGTATCATAGTTCCTGATTCTATCTGTGCAGCACATTATAGGGTCCATATATCATCATATTAGCTACTAAATAACAAGGCAAAAAAGAAAATGATCATTCTTCAGAAGCTTTGGTTCTTTTCCCTCTGTGGGGCATCTGGTAATGGTGTGTTTTATTTCTGTGGAGACGGCCGTCGTGTCTAACTGTCCAATTCTAATATCTGGGAACTAAATCCTGCAGCCTATTCTATTCATTGTTTTTTTGTTTTTGTTTTTGTTTTGTTTTTTTTTTGAGACAAAAAAATTTAAGGCACATGGATTAATGCTTAAAAAAGTATGTTGTCTGTAACGTACCTGCAGGGAGTGCTGTAGATGCATTTCAAATGCCCTGGTCTAGTGAACTGTGTTTGTTAAGCATTATTAGATTAGATTTATTTAAATCTTAAACCCATTACTGTCTCAGTTTTGATACATAAGCACAACATTTAAAATGATATACCTTCATTGTCCAAAGGTATATATTTTAAGCAACCATTAGTTTCCTCTCATAAGCTGACCTCAACCCTGTGGCCACATGCTAATTTCTGTTTGGTTATTAATGGCAGTTAGCATCTTTTGAGCTGCACTGCTGCCATGTTTATTTTATTCTAGCAAAAATACCTATCCAAAGTGGCTGGTTTAGGCTGTTTTTTTGTTTGTTTTTTTCAAAATCCCCTGTATACTCTTTATGTGCATTATCCTGGTGTAAAGGGAAGGCAAATCATCAGTGCTCCACCTTGGCCAAGTGTCTGATGACTCCTCCACTCTCCTCACTCTTGTCTGTTTAGTCACCACTCATTTACATCAGTGAGCAGCTGCCTGATATCCATGGCACTGGTTAATGTTGAAACGGCTGGTTCCCCTGGTTACGGCTGTGTGATGCTGGAGTGAATGTCACCCCTGTTGCACTGTGTCCTGAGCAGCAGATGAGTTAGAGGGGCAGTACATGTCTGGTGCAATCAGGACAAACTGTCCTTTACTGTGAGTCTCCATAATCAGCCTAGTTTCTGAATGTGAGATGTAAATAAAGCATGAGATATTATGGCCTGCTTTCATTTATACTATGGTCTGATTATTAAGGCAGGTTATTATAGCGCAGAAGATAGGGCAACTTTTTCCTCATTGATCTTGAGCTTGTTGTTCTTAATTTTACCAGTATGAGGGAAGGAAATAGCTGTATTTAATGCTGTTGTATGCTGTTGTGGGTTTTTTCCGAGAATCAAGTCATCGCATAAAAATCCTTTTACATGTTAATGTCTGATTGGATCCTACACGTGTTTTTAGACATTGATGAATACTATACACTACATACTGTACATTAGTCTATTTGTTTGTGTCACTGCCTTGTTAAAAATCACTAAGGAAATGTTGTTTATGCGCTTCTATTTTTGGAGGCATAGAAAATATCTAATAAAAGTGTTATGAAAGGTTTACATTGTCTTCTGAATTTCATTGCCAACGACATGTGGCATTGATGTGGCAAAGAGAAGCAGAACTGCGGTAGAACCGTGAATCTGTCGTGTGTGTTCAGGGTCTGTGCAATATCAAGTGAGAAATAATAACGTCCTCTTTACTGTTGGTTAAAGTTCTTAATGTGATATTGTATTCTCTGCTACAGTATCTAGCTTGTAGTAAAAGCAAATTTCATTTTGTTCAAGGTTGGGGAACCACAGATTCACATTTTACTGGATTTTGACACCCCAGGTAGGTCATTTACAACAACAATACATTTTACTTGCAGAAATGTGTTTGTAATCTGTAAATATGTGTCCTCCTTTATAGCATTTCCCTTCATCAGCGGTTTCTACAAATGTAGTATTTGTTCAGATGCCCCAAATGACAACACCCTTCCAATTAAGGTCAGGAATCTGGACAACAGGTAGAATCAAATCCACACCTAGATTTGACCAGAATCTTATCACTGCACCATCATACCTTTATATTATTATTGGACTATAATAACAAAGTCAGAGATTAACATGACATTCCTGGTTTTATGTTCATTAGGTAGTATAATATGGATGTCAAGGTAAAATATGTAATGCTTAACTTTGGAATATATTTATTAATTTATTATTTAATTATAGCATTTATAGCATTTGAGCATTTAAAAATAAATACATAAACAGGGTGGTACAATGTTTATTGCAATATAATAACAGAAGGAGTGGTAAGTTGTGTTTCAGTGAGACAGATGTTAGGGGACTGTCCCGTTGTTTTTTCCTGCATATACATTACACCTGCAACCCAGAAATGTGCAAGTGAAACAGTGTAATGTAAATAAATAAAAACTCCCACTCCTACTGTAAATGAATACATGCTGGAGACTTCCAGACTGGGGTGCCAAAAAGGAGGAAAAGGGAGAGGGATTCTAAAGGGCCATGATCAAGAGGCCCCTAATAAAATTATAATACTGACATAAAATAATATGAATAAACATGATAATAGCTTCATGATACAGTTTTATGTAAAATAGCATCAAAATATTGATTATAATATTGATAATGATATCACAATTATCCCTAGCGATGACACTGGGTCAAAGACACCATTATTACTTCAACATAAGAACATAAACACATTAACTTATATATTATGCATATATAAGTTAATATGCAATCCCCGCTTCAATAAATACACAGTAGATACATTTGGACAACATTTACGCGAGTAGATTGTAGTAGATTTGCTTTGCAAAGTGCTGCCAAATGGTAGATGTTGTAACTTAAGAGTGTTTTACGCTTTAGGTTGATTGGTGTTGGTAAACACCTGTGGACAGCAGCACTCGATTTTGTTGAACGCAGCATCCGCTCATTTCGGAGAAGCACAGCCGGGCTTTCTGGTGACGTCACGCAGGAAAGTACACACTGACGGCGCAGCGCTGCTGACCTGAAAACAACAAGACATACGCTTACATTTCAACCAACAGCCCCTCATGACAGCTTCGTAGAAACGACTGGTAAGTCTTAGTGGTTGTTTTAATGTCGGTCTTCTGTGGAAATTATAACAGCGTTGTCATTCACCTGCCAGTGAAGCTTTCGATTCTTCAACCTGGAGAGATGTTGAACGACGCAGTCTATTTCCCGGTCTGTTGTTGAATGGCTAATGTGTAGCTCCACTGCAGCTAGCCAGTGAAAACGGGCTTTTAATAACTTTAACTTTATTATCTGTCCCCATTTTAGGTAACATTTAATGTGTTAAAGTCGACGGTGCTTTACTAACACAGAGACGCAAAGCGTCAATGAGGTGTGACAGTACTATTGGGTTGGCATCGAAAGTAAACCTGACTGCTTCCCAGAATATAGTCATGTCCCGGAGTTTAACAGCTTTGTATATAATAATGTAGGATATTTCACATACCGTCGCTAGCCTGTTAATACAAATGCCTTAAAATTATTAAGGCAAAAATTATTTATTTAAATGTCTTCAATGGTGTTCGGTTATTTGTACAAACGGCCTCAAAAACCGTTAAATTAGGTAGACATTTATTTTGTCATGTTGTCGATCTTTTAAATCTAATTTTAGCATTACATTTTAAGTCATGAATCGTCGTGTACACAAGGTTAAAGTTGCTAACTTAATTGTTATAAATTTTGACCAAAAAGCAAGTAAATGAAATTTCAAATCAGTGTTGATACTGTTACAGGTGCAGTTGTAGCCATGGAGAAACCTCCCTTCATGCAGAACCAGAACTGTGGAGACTGGGAGCTAAAAGAAAGGCTGGGAATGGGCGGCTTTGCCCACGTTTATTTATACCAACATCATGTGAGTGTTGTTGAACTTGACTACAAAAATACACGGAAGGAAGGCAGATAGGAATGTCTCAGATATAATTGAGAATAAAGCTTTGATGTCATTGTAATGATCTAATATAAATTCCTATTTTTTAAAGAAAACCAAACCTTTGTAAAAAGCTTGCTTTAAAAGCAAATGCTATTAAAGAAGTGGATGGAGATGTCAGATTAGTTATTAGCTAAAATGGCTAAACCTCCTGGATGTGAAACTTCCAGTTAACATTGACTCACACAATATTGGAAACCGGGTCCTGTATTAAATACAGTTTGACACAGACGTCTTTTTTTCAAAAAGTGTATTAAACTTCTCATCACCGGATTTAAATTTTTCTGATGACCAAACACGGTGTCTTTTCATATTTAGGGTTCCATTACATTTTGATGTTTTTTTTTTTTTGGTTTTTTTTTTAGATTGCTCTAGTCTTGTTTGCACTCTGAAGTCAAGAAACTTTGTAAAATAAATGTTGTTTATTTGTTTTGATTTGCTCACATAGGTAAAAATTATTTAAGAAGTAATAGCCAGTACTATAATATATGCTAATATTCTGCACAGATGAGATTCTATGACAGCTTGTTGCAGAGGACTTTAAGTTTACAGAGTGAACCATAAGTTGAATGAGAGGCGGATGATTTGTTTTTCTGCCAATGTTATTCTTAGGGATAAGTTAATAAACTCTATATGTTGTGTGTAAATTTATGCATGTTTGTTTCAAAGGATACAAATGAAAAGTTAGCTGTGAAAATGTGCCGTCTGGAACTCACAGAAAGAAATAAGGACAGATGGAGCAGAGAAATCCAGATCATGAAGAAGTACGTTGTAATTTTTTTGTTATTTGTAGACATGATGCACTTTTATTCTAAACTTTCACAATTGTTTCTATGTAGGTTTTCAGTCATCCAGGGCATCTTATTAATTAGTAGTTGCATCAAGGGCAGCTGGACTGGTAGACGCAAAAACCTGCCAGTCCAGCTGCCCTTGACGCAACTACTTTTGGATGTCACAATTGTTATTATTACAATGGTAATATATCATCATGTTACTGTAAATATTTTCAGCACTCCTACAAGTCGTGAAAGTCAGTAATGTAGACACTTTCGTCTCTCACTCAGATTAAACCACATAAATGTTGTGACGGCCCGAGATGTTCCAGAGGAGATAGCGCACATCGCCTTAAATGATCTTCCACTATTGGCCATGGAGTATTGCTCAAGGGGAGACTTGAGGAAGGTGCTGACAATATTGAAAAATATGTTCTTGTGTTATACTCAACATGCCATAGTTTTTACCTTTACACACAAATTGAGAGAAAAAGTGCAGGTAGGGAAATATGATTAAACTGCATTTGTCTTGATCACAGGTGCTAAGCAAACCTGAGAACTGCTGTGGTCTGAAGGAGAGTGAAGTGATTTCATTACTCAACGATGTTGGTTCGTCTGTTTTTTTGTTTTGTTTTTTTTTCTTCTCTGTTGTCATCTTCATTTCAATGAAATCAATTCACTGGTTGCTGTTCTAGGTTCTGGTATCCAGTATCTGCATGAAAACAAGATCATCCACAGAGACCTTAAACCTGAGAACATAGTTCTACAAGATATCAATGGAAAGGTTAGTACTACAATTTGGTTTCTGTTTCTTCTTTTTTTTAATTATTTGTAGCCCTTACATTTACTTTTGGTCTTTAGCTGGTTCATAAAATCATCGATTTAGGCTACGCCAAAGACCTCGACCAGGGTAGTCTGTGCACCTCCTTTGTTGGAACATTACAGTACCTGGTAGGTTTCTCAGTAAAGAATTTATAAACTACACAGAAATAATAATAAAAAAACCATAATCCAGGTCTGTTCATAGGTTTAACACCTCTTTCTCCCTGCAGGCACCTGAGCTGTTTGAGAATAAGCCATACACTGTCACTGTGGATTACTGGAGCTTTGGTACAATGATATTTGAATGCAGTTGTGGTTTCCGTCCTTTTTTGCACAACCTTCAACCTGTGCAATGGTGAGTTGGGAAACACATTATACACATATAATATGACATTTCAGTGATTGGAAGATGTTCATTATTATTTGTTATTTATTTTTTAGAAATGTATTTTGTAATCTGAATTTTTTTTTTATTGTATATTATATGTATTGCATGGTGCTGCTTTAGCTTGTGGAGCCTGATGGCTGCACATACATACTCTCCAGTTATATAAATTATTATGATCATGAATCTCCCAATAAAACCTAAATTCTGCCTGGGGAACGCTGAGATGTTAATTTTACTGTAGTAAAACATCCAGATTGTATTGACATTTCAGCAATCTTCAGTTTTTGGCATATTTTTGTTGTTTTATATGCTAGAATATGTTTATCTTGAACTGAAATGTTTGGCTGTCTCATCAAATCAAATCAGAAAACCTAGGTTTCTACAGCCCCACAAAGTAGGAAAAATTAAGCAGAAATCTAAACATTGAGGTAAATGTAAAATTTTAGATGTAATTAGATCAATTGAAACGATAAACAAAACTGAAAACATGAATCAGAAATTTTAACATGTTTTCATTGTGTTGTTTCCCTGATTTAAAATGTGTCTCTGTCCCTTTTCTATTTACAGGGCAAGCAAAGTGCGGAATAAAGGTCCAAAAGACATAATGGCTGTTGAAGAACTAAATGGAGAAGTCCGGTTCTCCACACACCTTCCTTACCCCAACAATCTTGGGAGGTTTGAAAACTGTTTCCTTTTAAATGTTTTGTAAAATTGATATCTTTCATCCATAATGTCACATGAAGTTTTTCGTAAACATCTACTGCACTCTGTGTGATTGGTTTATTTGCATAAAGGAGTTATGAATAGATTGAAGACTCACATTTGTCAACTAATGAAACACTCTTTGATCAACGATGGCAATCAGCCAGTCCTAATTTGTACTTATAAGAGATGAATAGAAAACTAAATCCCTAGTGATTTGTGTGCTTTTCTGTGGGGATATTACGTGTTGTTGTTTATCAGCCAAGTTGCCGGAAGTCTTTGAATCTCTGAGCTTTCAACCTGTGTTTTAATCATTAAAATCATAAACTCTTGTAGTTAAAACGTTTTTAAATGGTCATTGCAGTACACTGGTGGAGCCGATGGAGGCACTGCTTCAGCTGATGTTGAAGTGGGACCCCGTACAGAGAGGTGGAAAAATGAACAGTGACACAAAGAAGCCGCTGTGTTTTGAATTACTGGAGCAGATACTGAGTATGAAGGTGAGTACAACAGTCAAGCCATACATTTACAAATGAAGGAGCTCTTTGAAAGTGCACGTTATAATAATAATAATGATTTTATTATATTTATATTATACATATGGGGTAGTGGTGACTTAGTGATTAAGGTGGAAGTGGACTTGGGTCCAGAAGGTTTAAATTTACAGACAATTTAATAGGACATGAAACCCCTTCTTTTCCCTCCCAGGTTGTCCACATTCTAAACATGACCTCAGCCCAGGTCCACTCGTTCCAGCTGACTCCAGAGGAAAGTCTCCACAGTCTGCAGAGACGCATCGAGGCGGAGACCAAGATTGAAGTTGTGAACCAGGAGTTGCTGCAGGAGACGGGGGTGTCACTGGATCCTAGGAAGCCTGCTGCACAGTGTGTCTTAGATGGAGTGGTAAGATCAGCACAGTGAAATCTGGTTCTATTTTCATAGTACATGAGTCTGCAGAAAATGTGTCAAAAAGTGTCTGTTGGCTTTCACTCTGTGTCATTGTGATAATTGTCACCGTCTTTCTCTGATGACATAATAACATTAACAGTTTGTTAACTGAAAGCAAAACACCTGGTTTGACAGCAGTGTGTTTTTGTTTTAAAAAAACCCACAGCAACAAAATCTAGAACCACGGCAGTAAAAATATATGACTAATGCACAATCTATTTCACATGACACCTTCCTGACTGGAGATACACTGAAGCTCTTTGTTTAGTTCTAAAGTAACTCATCTCATCTGTATCATGTTCTGTTGAATCCCCAGTACTTATAGTGGCATGTATGTCTCAAAATAAAATGTTTTGAATTTTGTTTTTTATTTGTCCCATTAAAAAATAGATAAAATCATTTGTGTTTAAGATTGAAAAGTCAAAAGGATTCTATTCATGTGATACAATTTAAACTAAACAAATAGCATTTGCACTAAAGTAATTATAATGGAAATCCAGCAATTGGAAAATGTCTTTATACTTGTTAAGATCTAATTTTCTTCTCCTCTGCAGCGAGGGTGGGACAGCTACATTGTCTACCTGTTTGACAAGAGCATGACTAAATACTCTGGTCCCTTCAGTGCCCGACAGCTGCCTGACAAAGTCAACACTATCGGTGGGTTCATTTGTAGGCGTTCATGCTGCTGAAAAAAAAACAAAAACAGATCATTTATAAATATGGAGATATGACATCTAAATACAGTTTCATCTGCCTTGACTCTGCAGTCCAAGAGCCCAAAACTCAGCTGCCCCTGGTTGCATTAAAAAAGGTCTGGGGTGAAGCAGTGAGCTACATCTGTGGTCTGAAGGAGGACTACAGCAGACTGTTCCAAGGACAAAGAGCTGCTATGTGAGTGACATGAGCACATCCTGAATCACACCATGTTTTTGTTTGTGACATATTTTCCATTGCAGGGTTTCATGGCTTCTATTAATTGAGTTTTTTTTTATCTTCAAACTTTAAATTATTGTTATTTTTTTTTTTTTTTTAAATAGAAGCCTGAAACTAATAAAACAGGACAGTTGTGGTTTGCTTACTGATACAGAATTGCTTTGGATAGTTAATCCAGCTGGTGAATCTGTAATTATACTGCACAATTGTTTAATTCATAGAGAATTTCTCCAAGATGCTTATAAATAAAGTATATTATTATTATCATCGTTATTATTATTTCTTTGTCTCTCTCCAGGCTGAGTCTCCTGCGCTACAACACCAACCTGACCAGGTGTAAGAACAGCATGTTTGGTTTCTCTCAGCAGCTGAAGGCCAAGTTAGACTTTTTTAAGAGCAGCATCCAGTACGACTTGGAAAAATACAGCGACCAGATGCACTACGGCATATGTGAGTCCTTAGCCACTTTTTTGTGCTTGGGTCTGAAGACTTAAAAGCCTTTAGAGACTAAAAGAACAAAATGTTCATTGAGTTGAGTTCTGTGTGTTTGTGCTAAGCCTCTGAAAAGATGCTCAAAGCCTGGCAGGAGAATGAGGAAAGAGCTGCAGCTTTCGCACAGGTAATGTTTGGTAACTAAACTAACCACACCTTCATTTTTGACTGTGTTCCTGACATGGTTTCAAAATAATCACAGCTAATTGTCTTTTGTGAAACAATTTTCTCACCGATGTTACTGTTATTTCAGTGTTATTAAAAAAAAATGTTTTCCAGGAAATAGATAATGAAACTTCACAAAGCATTTTGTATTGGTAATTGTCTGAAAATTATGATTACTTTTGGTTTCCATCACACCTCTCTGGAGGTGGGCTGTTATTTTATACCAGGTTATACCAGTCTACCGACAAACTATTTTATCATATGTTGCTTACACTGCATTATTACTGCTGAATTGCAATTATCTGTTGGCAATGCTCATGAAAGTGCACTCCCCCAAGGAAACAATACTTCCCGGTTTGTCCTGCAGGTGGCACAGGTGAGCCATTTGGATGATGAGATCTTGGCTCTTCACTCTGAGATAGTGGAGCTTCAGAGGAGCCCATACGCCCGACGGCAAGGAGACAAGATGGAGCAGCTGTGAGTATCGCGTTGTTTTTTTCTAAACCTGTGAGTTCCTCGTGTTCTTGTTGGCCCAAATAAATATATGCAGTTTAACTAAAACCCAAAAAGTAGTGAGACTTCATCCACTACATAATTATATACAGTGTGTGTGTGTGTAGCTAGATTGCTGTATTGTTGGGGGTTTCAGTCAATCAAAACTTTTTAAAAATGCATTTCCTTTTAATTGCAGAGAAGAAAAGGCAATTGAGCTCTACAAGCAATTGAAGATGAAGTGCAAAAGTAAGAAGCAATCTTCAGTCAAACATATCATTTATTATCTTGGTTGAATTTATCAGAAATAGGACAGGTCAAGTAGTTTTTTTAAGGGCTCTATTTGTTGCATATTTCTCAGTTCCTGAGCCAGACGTGAGCTGCGACAGCTCAGAGATGGTGAAGGCCATCATTCAGACTGTCCAGAACCAAGACAAGGTCCTCAAAGATCTGTACACACACCTTAGGTAAGAGTCAGTTGCTCCATAAAAAAATTAGAACAACCACCTGATAAAACGAAAACACTTATAAAAAGTTAACACTAAATCTAGATTATACAGTTTTGATTTGTGTCTTTGCCAACAGTAAAATCCTGATCAGCAAACAGAAGATCATTGACTTGTTTCCACGAATTGAGAAAACCCTGGAGAGTATCAAGGATGCAGACAACACAGTGATGCAGATGCAGATCAAGAGGCAGAGAGAGTTCTGGCATTTGCTGAAGATTGCCTGTGTGAGTCTTATGTCATCTGCCTCCAGTTGTTTGTTCTTTAATGGTTCCTCAAATGCCATAGACATGGCCCAAGGTCTGGTGTGTTTTTCAGATGCCTTCAGGTACAAAGTCTGCCTCATTTTTTCCACTCATGTTGGGCTGACCAGGAGCATGGAACAACTGCAGCTGTTGAACCTTTTTTAATTAACCCCAGAGAAAATTTCGCACTTTCTAATGTTTTTTTCCCTGTAATATGAGATTTTTTTACCTTAACTGTATATGACATTTCCCCACAGATGGAAATGTCTCCTGTTGTTTCTGGACAGCAAACAGTAACCAAACCAAGGCAGAGCTCCTATGGAGTGCATTGTATAATTTTTCTTTAGGTTGTAACCCCAGCAGTACCAGCTACAGTAGCACTGAGATCAGAGAATGTAAGGCCTTGAGTGACCTGCCTATTTTTCTTTGTTTTGTTTTTTTTCTTTTCTGTAGGCTCAAAACTCATCCCGGAGCTCGATAGCAGCCAGTCCAGAGTCATCCAACCTGCTGCAGGTGTCACAGTGGTCACAGTCGGCTCAACCTGTCAGCTCACCTCACCCTCTGGTCTCTCTGCCTGGGCCTAACGACAGGTACTGTAACTCATTAGCTCAACTGTTTCCTCTTTAGAGATTGTTCTCATTTGTGTTCAATTTACGAATATGTATGAAGGGGTTAAGACAGAAAGTAGCAGTAAGTTAGGTGTAAATGACCTGTATTGTATTTGCTTAGAGCTCTTTTTTCAATGACACACCCAATATTTTTCTATATTCTATAATGTGTAAACCAATAGTTTATGTTATTTATTATAAAATCTATTTTCTTTCTAATTTGTGATCATACAAAACTTTTTTTTAAGTGCACTGTACATGTATTGGTCAGTATGGTGGTTTCCTAACAATTTTGATGTTTCTGCAGTGATGCTGCTCCTCGGCTGTTGCAGGAGAACCAAAAGTATTTGAGTCAGCTGACTAGCCTGATGCAGGAAGCAGCTGACGAACAGACCAAGAGCATTGTGGTGAGTTTACCAATTAAAATCTTTTTTTTATATAGTAGAGAAATGTATAAACAAGATGCAGGAATTAATTTAAATAAACTGCAACCATAGAGCCTACATACAAACTGGACATTAAGTGTCAGGATATCAAGCGTCAAAGTCCTTTATACAGATCCTGGTTACAAATGGGGACTTAATGAGAGATGCTTTGTTTCTTTGCTGAT